AGAATTTTTGAGCGGGTATATTTACGGCTTGAATTTCCGGGTACGGCTTTAAAGGAGTTTGAAGGGGTGATGCAAATGAACCGCATCAAGTTCCACCAACTACAAAGGAAGGCGCATTTTACTAGTCTCCACCAGACTTCTTTTGCAGGCTGAATAAATCGTAGAAATCGGCCTAAAAAGGTTATTAATTGGCGAGAGAAGGCCGATTTCTACCATTTATTCAGCCTGTTTTACCGCAGGAGCAGTTTGTACCGTGTCAATATAGACCTATTCCAAGAGGCATTTAAGGGGGCCCGCATGCCCTTTTCCGTAGAGCGTAGTCGGCCGTTTTAATTCTATGTAGAGCGTAGACGGACCGCTCTAATTCAACGTAGAGCGTAATTGGTACATTTTGTGCACAGCGAAAATTCGCTTTTTGATTCTAAGTAATGTGAGTCGTAGCCACTTGGAATTTATCGTAAAGCGTGATCGCTACTGTCGCGTAATGCATAGCCGGCTCTCAAAATTTAGCGTAGAGCGTTGTCGGGACCCCCGCATGCAGGCCCTCATTATCGTAATAGCTGTAATGTTTGTACGTTGTCACCAACCTATTAGTCCCAATTGAAAAAAAAATGATGATTTATTGGAAAGCACTATGTTTCACTCCCAAGTTGAATGATGAGGATAGAAGATAGAAAAATCTTGTTTTTTTTTTGCCCGCTCGCATTAGATTTGGAGTCTGCGGAGGATGTCATCCATAAACTTTACTTGCTGTGGCCTTAACTTAATTATCGGATTCAAATTTTGCTCCTGATTTGCAGGTGGCACGCCCCACATGTGCGTGAAACACGCCGTTCCAACATGGCGAGGTGTGCATGGACGGGAAGAACGAGCGGGTAAAAATTCCGCCCAGGAAGACGCACCACGTCCGCTTTGGTGGTAAGTTGTGCTTCAAATTGTCGTATATACTCTCTGGACTATTGTAGATAAATTTCCTTTAAGTTAAATGAAGCAAAAAGACAGAATTTCGAAAACAAGTTGCGGCAACTGTCTCCCACGAGTTAATGCTGCAGTAAGTTAGGCAACCGCTGGGGGCGCTTTTGTGTGGTCCAGTGAATGTATCTCCGGTAAAAGGCACTTAGCACCGTAGCCACCAATTCTTTAATTACGGGTCAAGCAACTACTATTCAATGAGGGTGAAATCAATGATCCTGAAATAGAAGTATACCTTTGTGCAGGTTAACGAAAAACACTGGATAAAACCTCGAGTTATACCAAGGAGGTTATACGGACACTCACTTACTCTCCAAGCAGAGGTTTGGGTTTATTTTTTACGTGTTTTTAGGCTTTTTTATCGGGGGTTCTCTTTTGCAATGGAATTCTTTTTCACCTCCCCCACCAAAAAAAAAAAAAGAAATTCCAGTGCAAAAGAGAAACCCCGATAAAAAAGCATAAAAACACGCCAAAAATAACCCCAAACCCAAACCTCTGCTTGGAGAGTAACACTCACTAGTACAACCCTTGAATGGTGAGCTATGTCGAACTCTTCTTTCGTTCATAGAAAGAAATTTGAAAACTTTGATATCAGCCGCTGTATTCATAATGAGGTAATCTCCAAGCAGATCCCTCTCGGTGCCAAAAAGACAGTATCAAATTGGCCAGGCAGTATCCATTAGCCAGAGAAGGTCGCCGGCCACTGACGGGAGTAGGGTGGGGGTAGCGACAAAAAAACGGCCATATATAAAAATGTAACGATCATTCCCCCACAACCTCTGCTTGGAGAGTAATAATGAGGTATTCCTGTATTTTTAAGCCTGAATAACATACTCACAGAGACGCGAGGCCAACCAAATGTCAACCCGTATTAGTCCATAGCGTTCTACGTCGACAATCGGTTATATTGTGTGCATGAGTACTATTTCGGTAATCAGGGCATAATTTACGCTTTGACCTTTCCCGCTCAGTAAAGGTCACGTCTACGCCTGATTACCCAGATATAGCACGGTATAACCGATTGTCGACCTATGAAGAAAGTTTATTGCAAATATATGCTTGGGGGCTAATTGCAGTTACAAACAACATAAGGAAGAAAATACAATGGTGTGTGAGACTATACCTGCGTCTAGCACTACACTATATTCTACAACATACATGGTACTAGTTTTACTGGGTTTGAGTTCTTTTTAGGCAATGGACGACGAATTTACCCACTTCTAATATGATATGTGGGTTTTTAGATTTTAGTAGTAAAATTGTTTTTTCGTGGTAGGGAATGGTGAGGAAGTAGGGGGCATTTTGGACACGGTGGTAAATAATTGTTTTCTGATGTTATAAAATGGACACAACACACCAAAACCGCTAGGGGCGCTTTTTTTTAAACTGCACACATGTGACCCCTGACCTGTATGTAACTTTGCTTGGAACTTGGTTTAGTGTGTTGTCCTGTGTGTTTTGGTCAAATTCTATGCGTTACAATGTAAAACAAACGTTTTTCGGGGCCGAGAGCAGACAGGAGGGACACGATAGTTCCTTTTGTGAAGAGACGACATGGACAAGGTGATAGATTTGGAAGGAGGGGAGACAGACGACTGGTAAAGTTCGAGTGGGGAGGGGGGCGGTAACCCAGAGTGGTTTATGTATCAAAAACCATATGTACTTTTATTATCCACGGTAATGATATAACGTTACGTCACATAGTGCTCAGGAAGGTAAATTTGTCGGTAGAAAGAAAACTTAAAGATTTTAGAGAGAACAAAATATATAGCTTGGCTTGTATATCAATGCAATGATTTGGGAAATTTTATTGTATCTTTAAATTTGGGTTTACAATTAAGAGTACCTTTAAGTATCGTCTTTTTCTATCCTTACCCTTGTAACATTATATAACTCAAAATGCAAATTTTGACAACAATTTACAATAAAGTTTATTCCATATTTACATGTACAATACAGATAGACAAGTGTATTTCTAAAGTTCTCTTTACATTCCAGGTTTGTTGTCTGAAGGCCTGTACAGAGTTTCTGGCTTTAACGACGACATAGAAGAAGTCAAACTGTCTTTTGACAAATGTAAGTAAGTGTCAGATACACTGATTCAAAAGTTCTAGATTCAGCCATGGCCTCCTTTCTCTTTGAAATCCTTAAAGGCATCCAATGTAATTTCAGGATAGCAAAACTGGATATATTCTGAATAAGGCAATCTTTGTGATATTGACACATAGTGCTTCACATTAGCACATTTGAGTCAGTACTTCATACTTTGGGCATTTAAAACTGCAGAAACAAGCCCCAAGATGAGTCCTTTATTTTCTGGGTTGTACCCTGAAAATCAGCCCACGGCCCATCCAGCAAACCTTTTTGGTCAGAATTTTGGTAATTTTTGCTCCATGAGGGTCAATATACACTGGGACAGTGTAGTTTCAACTCACTATGTAGATAAATGACTAGAATATAGGCTTTGAAAAATTGAGTTTCTAAGCACTAAAAACTGCACTGGATGCCTTTAAAAAATAGAACATTTTCAACACTTATCTTAATCTTGATTCAAGATACTTAATCTTGAATCTTATACTCATGAATCCAGGTACTTAAATTTATCAGAAACAGACTTTTGCCTTTTCAAATCGGTTATCTCTGAATAGAGGATATCAACAAGATAGTGGGGTCATCTAGCAGGTTAAGTTGGAACTGCAGCTGGTTCTTCTGCCTTTACTCATGACAGAATCTCCTTGTTTTTCCAGTTTGAGCTCAGGCCAACATTTCGGAGTCCACGTACAAAGACATCAACACCATAGCGGGCGCGTTGAAGCTCTACTTCCGCATGTTACCCATTCCACTCATCACCTTTGACGTCTACCCAAAGTTCATAGAGGCAGCCAGTAAGTCTGTTGTGGTTGTTGTCTCAGCCACAAACTTACGCTTATTAAAAGCATTTTTATGTTTATGTCAATGAAGGTTATACATCCAGGTAATACGATACACCAAAAAGTAGTTACTCAAGCAACTGGATATGATTTTGGAAAAGGTCAGACATTTCAGCTACATGTAGTATCCACTAGCTTTCTTCAGTCACAGCGTTTTTATGTTTACCTTAAGTTTGTAGAAGTAAAACATTGTTTTTGCTCAGTTTCTGCTTCCTCATCTTCTTGCCCGAACAAATAAGGTCGGTGATCTGGACCAGACGTCTGTCACCATGGTAACTGGTGCTGTAGCAGACACCCTGTGGTGTTGGGTTACATTATGTGATAGCAGGACAGAGTTGGAGGGGCTGGTCACCATGTATATATTATGAATTTGTTTGAGTAAGAGTAAACAGAGCAGAAAATGAAAGACTAAACCATGTGAAGGTTAACAATTCCTCCTCCATTTTGCAAATGGTACCTTTCTAGATTGTCGTTATTCAATTCTATGTATGGAATTGATGTAAATTTGATCATCAGAAATCCATACATTAGGTCAGGACATACATTTTGTACTGTAATGCAAACATTGCACTGTTCCAATAATTATTTAAAAATACTACATATTAACTATTACTAACAAAAGGTCTAAAGATTCTTAAAACACTATTTTCTTATCTTTGCATGGATCATATTTGCCAGGCTCTGTTCAATGTTTTTTATCAGTGGATGGCTTCTGTTTTGAGGGAAAACCTGTCTTGCCATAGCCAAGGCTTCTTGGCAGAGACTGAGGGCTTTACTGTGGTCATGGTGGCGGTACCAGGCTGACGCCAGGTTGTTGAGTGAGTAGACAATGTTAAGATGTGCTTTAGTGTGACCATAAATACTCCTGCGCATCTGTAGTGACTGTTCAAAATAGCTGATAGCTTTTCTGTAATCACCCAGCTGGTACCAGTCTGACCCCAGGCGGTTGAGTGAAGTAGCAATGTTGGGATGTGGTGTAGTCTGACCATAGATACTCCTCTGCATCTGCAGTGACTGTTCAAGGTAGCTGATTGCTTTTCTGTGATCACCCAGGTCATGCCAGGCTGATCCCAGGTTGTTGAGTGAGCCAGCAATGTCAGGATGTGCTTTAGTCTGACCATAGATACTCCTGCACATTTGCAGTGCCTGTTCAAGGTAGCTGATTGCTTTTCTGTAATCACCCAGGTCATGCCAGACTCCCCCCAGGTTGTTGAGTGAGGTGGCAATGACAGGATGTGCTTTAGTCTGACCATAGATACTCCTGTACATCTGCAGCGCCTGTTCATGGTAGCTGATAGCTTTCCTGTAATCGCCCAGGTTATGCCAGGCTCCCCCCAGGTTATTGAGTGAGGTAGCAATGTCAGGATGGGCTTTAGTCTGACCATAGATACTCCTCTCCATCTGCAGTACCTGTTCATGGTAGCTGATTGCTTTTCTGTAGTCACCCAGGTTGCTACAGGCTGTTCCCAGGTTGTTGAGTGACATGGCAATGTTAGGATGTGCTTTAGTCTGACCATAGATACTCCTGTGCATCTGCAGTGCCTGTTCAACGGAGCTGATTGCTTTTCTGTAATCACCCAGGTTACTCCAGGCTACCCCCAGGTTGTTGAGTGACATGGCAATATCAGGATGTGCTTTAGTCTGACCATAGATACTCCTGTGCATCTGCAATGCCTGTTCAAGGTAGCTGATTGCTTTTCTGTAATCACCCAGGTGGTGCCAGGCTACCCCCAGGTTGTTGAGTGAGCTGGCAATATTGGGATGTGGTGTAGTCTGACCGTACATGCTCCTGTACATCTGCAGTGCCTGTTCAAAGTAGCTCATTGCTTTTCTGTGATCACCCAGGTGGTGCCAGGCTGACCCCAGGTATCTGAGTGAGTTGGCAATTTCAGGATGTGGTGTATCCTGGCTGTAGATACTCTTGTCCACCAGCATTGCCTGTTCTAAGTAGCTGATTGCTTTTCTGTAATCACCCAGACTCTGCCAGACCATCCCCAGGTATCTGAGTGAGGTAGCAATCTCAGGATGTGCTGTACTGTGACCATACATACTTCTATACATCTGTAGTGCCTGTTCCAGGTAGTTTCTTGCATTTTGAAAATTACCCAATTCTGTCCATGACTTCCCAAGATTGTTGAGTGAGCTTGCAATATCATGATGTGCAGTATTCTCACCATGGATAATCCTGTACATCTGCAGTGCCTGTTCTCCGTAGCTGATTGCTTTTCTGTAATCTCCAAGCCCGTCACAGGCTAACCCCAGATTGTTGAGTGAGTTAGCAATGTGAGGATGTGCTGTATTCTGACCAAAGATACTCCTCTGCAACTTTAGTGCTTGTTCAATGTAGCTGATTACTTTTCTGTAATCACCCATACGGTAGGAAACCCTTCCCAAGGTTTCCAGTGTCAAACCAATGTCTAGATTTGTGAGATGTTGACCAGAGGAACGTGCCAATGACAGTGCCTCTTCAAGATAGCTGACTGCCCTCTGGTTATCACCCATTCTGCTCATAGCCTCTCCAAGCCTGTTGAGCAGCTCAATTTTCTCCTTTTCATCAGCTTCCTTCAGAGCTTCCTGGTAGCAGCTGACAGCCTGGTCATATTTGCACAGTACATCGTACATCATTGCTTTCATTGTTGCAGAGGTAGCATAGAAATCAGGGAATGAAGTTGGAAACACTTTTTGTTCAAACCATTTTAAGAAAAGATATTTAAGAAAGAGTGCTGTGTGATAGTATCTGAAAAGCTGCTTTTCATTTGGAAGATAAAATATCTGTTTTAGTGTGTTTGTTTGTACTTCATTGGTCTGTTTGGATGATTCCTGTCCATGCTGTTCTGTTTCAATTGAGGCCATAGCTGACAGGTTTTCCTTCTGTCCACCATTTGCGATGTATGTTCTGAGCCTGAGTTCTGCTGAGATGCTGGTAAGCACTGTCAGGTGGTGTGCATTGTTGGGACTGATCACTTGTTGGTTTTCCATTTCTTCTATTGTCTCCCAGACTGTGGTAGGTATGATGCCTGAAGACAGTGCCAAGCAGTCCACAGCTACCGCTGGGAAGCGATAGATGTCTTTCTTTACATCAACTAGTCTTGCTGTGAATGATCGCAGATCTTTGTAGATGTCATTGTTTTCCTTCAGTGTCTCCTGTGCCAGTTGTTGAGCCATTTTACCCCCATCAGCTTGCAGTATCTTCCCTGTGATGGCCATGTATGTGTCAATCAAATCCTGGTCCCCTGCTATCAGGCATGGGTTTCTCAAGATACTGGCCAGGTGATATCCTTCCTTCAGATACAATGCGACATCTTTTTGTAGTATTGAGACCATGTTTTCTGGTGTACAGATGAGTTCACTGGGTGGTTTGTTCTTAGTTCCCTGCCTGCCCAGTGGAGTCTTGCTTGCCTTTGGCATGGAGCCATCAAATGCAAACCCACGTGGTGTAACAGAGTCATAGTACCAGTTGTCAAGTGGATTCTCAGAGTAGTCATTGAGAGATTTTATTCCCAGTGCTGGGAGAATGGTTTCTCCCAGGTTGACCACCTTGAGGTGTAGATAGTGGGTGAGGTTACGGAAATACACAAGACATACTTCACTTTTTTCTTCTACCAAGATGGCAAACTCCAGGTCTGAGTATGGAGTTACCAGTCCTGTGGCCTGTGAACCCAAACCTATCAGGGCATACTTACAGGGAGGGGGACCCATTAACCCAATACACTCTTCTACAAGCAGGCTGATGAACTCCTTCCTTTGTTGTGCAATTTTCTCAAACAACTGCCTGACAGCCTGAGCTCGTTTTGCCTCTATCTCTCTGACACATGGGTCATCCTCATCATGTACATAGGGATCCAGCTGCTGGTCAATGGTTTCCATCTCCAGCTTGCTCTGGTCCCGCATCTCCTTCAGCTGTTTCTTGTGTTTTTCTTTGTCATCTTGGTTAAAATTGCTATGCTTGTCTAGGATACATTTGAGAAATGACTTTTCTACGTCTTTGATAGCTATGTTACCATTGAGGACTTGATCCTCTGACCTGGCTATTGCTGCATTGTAGAGTGCTGCTGCTTTGACAAAGTCTCCCCCGTCTCCTGTCTGCTGACCTCGCTTACTGTAGACATCCCCCAACTTGCACAGGGGCTCCACCTCTCTCTGGTACTGCTGAGCTGTGGGGTCTGAATTAAAAGGTATTCATGCAGGTCTTATTATATAATAATTATAGGTTTAAACTTCACAAAAATGTACCGCTAACAGTCATAATTATATAATTCTAATACGTAATAGCTTCACTGCAACCAAATATTTCTAATTGGAATTGGAACAGTACAATTATACAATATAAATGAGCTACCCAAACTGCATTGCTAATATTGCATGCCATTAGTTCAAGTATTACATTTACCTTTCTATGGTTTTAAGATACAATTTTGTTTACTACAATGTATATATTGGTTTGTGAAGTGCACAATGTCATATAGATATAAGTTATAATAATATCTACAGAATCACATGACAGTGTTGACTTACCTTTAACATGTACTGTCTTGAGTGCAGCTGCAAAGTGCTGCTCTGCTGAGTCCAGGTCTGATCTGGCAAGGGAGGAGTCCCCTTCCTTACAGTGGTCTGTGTACTCCCTTAAGGTGAAAAATATTATTGTAGAAAGGCATTAATTAGATTGAAATAAACATTGAAAATCTTAAAAAGATAAGTTCAATGATGTAATTTTAAATGTAATGATAGTGGTTTGTATATAGCTGGCAAAACCCCCTTTTGGCACAACACACCTGGAGTGTACTCATTGACAATATGCTTCCAAAATGGACATTATACTCACTTGTGTTTTAGTTCTTTTTCTGTTCCAACTGTACGTGTAGTGCTGGTTATTCCTGGTTCTGTTGCATTCCTGTATTAAAGAGTCATGTGTAAACAGTTAATATGCCATTGCGGCTGTTGCATTAAAATGTTTCTGTGATAATACATGATGTAAATGCACAGATCTAGTTTTTTTTCTTTAGGCCACCCCAATTTAATTTCTTGGTTAACGGATTTTTGTAGAAAAATAATGGAGCGGGTGGGCGAAATAAAAATAAAAACAGGCCTAGGTATCCTATTATGGCCCAAAATGGTATGATAGGAGCCATGAAGTCAACACACCAGGCTGGTTCAAAATTTAAACAATGAATTTTGAACTTTTAATGATACTACTGCATTGAAAGATGGAATGACTGTAACAAATAGTAAGAAAAGGACTGTTTTCAACTGTTCAGGGCAAAATATGAGCATTTTTCAGTTGATTCTGAATTTTTATTTTTATTTGCAAATCAGAAAAAAATGAAGCGGCGAATCAGAGAACCAACAAATTAAATTGGTGTGGCCTTACGGTGGAAAATTTGAGTCCCTACCTTGGTATAGGTGGATGGAGATGACGATCCTGCTTGTTGTCAGCTGCTCTTCTGATGTTTCTTAACTGATGCAGTCTCTCTTCTCTCCTTCGTGACTTCGAATTCTATGATGGATCAGATGTACACTGAGTTTTTCTTGATAAATAGTACCTAGGACTTCCCTTTTTTTAAACTCAATGACACTAAATAACAGTATTGTACTATCAGGTCATGTTGATTATCAATGGTTACAATAAATCTGTTCAGTAGAAAATAACAATGAAAATGCTGCTAGGCACTGTTGCAGGAAGACCATTGATAATGTTTCATAATGTAATGTTGGAACTACTCACCTGTGTTGCAGCTTCTTTGGTCTTTTCTGCGTACTTGACACGATGTTGCAGAGTCAGTTTTGCCTCAGGATCCCCACATGTTGTCAGGGCCTTGTTGTACATGGCAGCTGCCTTGGAGAACTGGGATACATCAGAGGTTTTCTTGCCTTTCTCAAGGTAGAAATCTCCAAGAGATTTTAGAACCTCTAACTCCAAGAACATGTCACTGTTCTCAATTGCTGTTACCAGTGTTTTTGTGTAAGTCACCTCAAGGGAGTGCCAGGATATTCTGACACTTCTTTCCAATTTGAGGCATGTTTCAGCCACCCTTAAGACATTACTGTCAGCACTACCCCAGTAGTCTGGTGATTGATAGTGTGGACTGTACCCCTGCAGCAGTTGTCTGGAGAGTTTCTCCATGTAGCGGATACGATGTTCTACCGTTTCACCTACATCTGGATCTTTGCAGCGCAGTAAGGCAGCAGCATACAGGGCAGCAGCCTTGTCAAACTCTGCTGAATCTTTACTGAGCTTGGCTTTCTCAAGACGCAGGTCTCCAAGACTTTTCAGTACTTCTACCTCCATGAAATGATCCTCACTAGCAATAGCTTCTCTCAGTGCCCGATCATAACAGACCTCTTTGCTGTACGGACTGTTTATGCACAGTTTCTGCAGTCTGTTTGCCAGACTGGCCATGCTGACACTAGACATTTTCCAGTGTTTACTCTGTTGACATAAATGTCTACGTAAATCTCACCTGGATGTCCAAAACTCTATACCAGCATGGCTAGAGACTTGCCTGTTTCCCTCTTTAGAAGCAAAAGCTCTGACTTATTTTTTTCTTCAGTGCATGTAGGGAAATGTTTCTGTTCCTCGATGTGTGGGTGAAACTTCTGGTTTTTCCCTCCTATTCTGACTGGGGACTTTCCCAGTGTTGTACTTCCGGGTCATTCTGTTGGGTCACACCTGAGCGAGCAGTGTTTTGTTTGACGTAGTAAACACAAAGATGGGGACAAAGGTCAACCTCTCGTGTTTCAAGGACATTGCAGGCTGGCCCGGGTTTTTCTAGAGAAATTTAGCCTGAGGGAGCAGATCGCAGACATGCATATGGCGAGGGAGTGAAGTGGTTGAGGGTTTTTTTTTTAAATGAGAGTAACATTAATGTAACGCAGACTAACTTACGTCTAGAATGCATTGTTGTATTGTTTTTACATCTTTACTGAAAAGAAATGATTTTGAGAAAGACTAAATGGTGTGTAAGTAGCCACTTAGGGCTGACTGGTTACATGAGGGAGCAGTGCCCTTATTCCCCTGTTTAGAAAAACCCCTGCTGCATTGGGCTCTGTTATTACTACAGAACTGTAATGTGTTTACTCCACAATTATCTTTCACTCAAAACACAACAGCGAAGCAGGATTGGCCGCAGAAAGGGAAAAGTCCAATTGATATTATATTAACATTTATCCTCCAGGTTATTAGGTCATATGTCTAATTACATGTGCGCAATGATTGTTAAAAATGAAACTATGTGGCTACAAACTGTGGACAATTTCAGCCGACAATTTGACGATAAACCACTTTATTGACACATGTTTGCATGACGAGGATGGTTTATTTAATATTGATGTATACTATTAGATAGTTTACGTATTTGACATGACATATATGCATGTTGTTTCAGATTCTGAATTGAAGTGCATCACGAAACTCCAAACCAAGGATAACGTTTTCATAGGTACTAGTTATGTAGTCGTTTTTTTGGCAAGACGACAACTTGGAACAACAACAAAGAGTGGAGGAATTGTGGTCCTGGGTTTGAATCCCTTCTCTGTAGCAGGTCTGTATACACGAAGTGTATCAAGTCCTCTCAAGTTTCATGACTTGTTGATGACAGTTTCATTGACACATGTTTGCATGCAATGAGGATGGTTTATAGATATGTATTTGTTATGATGACATATATGTTTTTATCTTTGGAAAATTTGCATTTCATGTGTGTCGTTGGCTCTAATGTTTAAATTGTACCTACTAGTTGTAATTTAATGGATGTCAAACATGAGATGACTATCATGTTATTTGGATTGTGATATCTTACATGATATCATGTGTGATAATTTTTCATGTGATTGTTGTTTGGTTATTATGATATATTTCTACATGTATTTTCATTGTTTTTTGTGCTCTTCTTTTGCCTCTGTAACAATGTTCCATGTGCTCTTTCCCCAACCAAATCAGGTTGATTTGATTTCATTTGATTTATTGAAATTGCAACAGTGCTGCAATACACGCGGAACAGAGGCAGCTGTTGCTGGTGTTGTGTCCCGCACATAGAAACGAATACAGGACAGACAATACTCATTTTCACTTGAGTCTAGCGGGGAAAGTCGTGTAAAGTGCCTTTCCCAAGGGTACAAGATCGGTGGCAATTTGTCAGGACTCAAACCCGGGACCTCTTGGTTCCGAGTCGTGCACGCTGCCATTGCCATTTTTAGAACAAATGGATTGTGATACCTTATATTATGTGATATCTTGTGTGAGATGTATTTTCATGTGATTGTTGTTTAGTCAGAATATTCTCTGATTGTTCACTTTTGGCTGTGCTCTTGTTTTGCCTCACTAACATGTTAACAATGTTCCAAATTGTGCTCTTCCACCAATCAAAGCAGGTTTTATAACAAATGTTGTGAATATTATGATGTCATGCATGTTATGTGAATATTGTTTAAACATATATTGGTGTATCCCTGGTGTATGTAAATTTGGCATGAGATTTTTCTGAATTTTTTTTTCTTTTACACCCTAGCTGATGGGAAGCTGAGACTGTACCTGACCATGCTCCTGTGTGTGCTGTGGGACCTGGCTGCTATCCTGTGTACCTGTCTACATTCCTGGAGGACCTGAGTGCGTATATTCCAGGAGGATATTTGGGGTGTGTTCCTGAGGGACCTGTCTGTGTTCCTGTCCTATTCAAGGAGGATTTGCCTGAGTGTGTTCCTGAGGGACCTGTCACCTATCTACGAGACAAGAGAACATCGGACCTTGACGTGAGTTGGCCTTTATTTTTAGAACTCTTTCAAAAATGGGGTCTGCATGCCGCATTGCGTAAGCACTTGTCTTAGATTTGAGTAATCCAAAATCGGGTCGTTGTGACTTAATATTAAATGTAATATTTGCATAATTTATGGGTAAAGCGTTAAGCCTGCATGAATGAAGCGTAATACCGGGTCGCTGCTTTGCATACTTTTGCGCTTTGACATTTTGCATAATTCGAACTTGAACCAAGTTTATGTCTGCACAAATGAAGAATAAATCGTGACCGCTGCTTCCAGAATTTAGTGTAAAGCGTGATCGGGACATCCCATGCATGCAGACCCCTAAAATTAAAAATGACAATGAAATATGTTGGAATTAGGCATCTCTGCGATGCTCTGAATTTTTAGTTCCAAACACCTGATTATCTAAACTGGCCCTCTGTTCTATTCATTGTCATTTTTGATTGAAAGAGTTCACATTTCTAATACTAATATCTAGTTTAAGGTCATGACTAACATTTGTTTACATTTATGGCGGAGAACACAGTACATTTTCCTATTGAGGAAAGCACTTGTAATATTGTCTGTTATTTCATTCTGTATAGCAATGGGATGTTTTCAAAAGCATTTGTGATCAAACTGTTTTCCCTGATATCCTCCTCATTATGATCCACATTGTACAAGATTTTTAAAAGTTCTGAAATGCTAATTGTCCTTAGGCCACACCAATTTAATTTATTGCTTCTCGGATTGCCCTGTCCATTTTTTTGTTCTAAATTAACTGCAAAATGCTCAATGAAAGACATATTTTAGCCCCAACAGTTGCAAAAAGTCCTTTTCTTCCAAGTTCTTCAATGTAACAATGCAATTTTGTTTCATTAAAAGTTCAAAATCTATTGTTTAATTATAGACCAGTCTGGTATGTTCACTTCATGGCTCATATTGTAACATTTTTGGCTATCACGCGGTGCCTTGGCCTGTTTTTTTTATGTTGCCCTGTCCGTCCTGATTTTTTCTGAAAAAAAGAAATCTACCTGGTGAAACAATCATTTAAGCAACAAAACGTGTAAGGATAAATAATGTAAATATTGTGTAGCACTCAAAAATGGAAACTTAGATGGAGTAAATTTCAGGGGAAGTACTTTGCTCACAAGATGATTTTTGGAAATATGTCCCATTCTTTACAGAAGATGGAAAAGACAATGTTGTGCTTTCCTTCTGTAGGGTGAATGTACTACAGGTAAGCTGTGTGTGATGTTAGAAAGGGAGGAATTGAGTTATGGAATCAGCGGAACAAAAATAAGTATTTCTTTTGCGAGGATTATGATTTTATTATGGTTTCTAGATAGGATAACTAAACAGTACATTGAATGAAACTGTAGATAGAGTTACAGTGAGAGATCTCTGTAAACACTTCTAAACAGACAGTTGTAGTGAGAGGTCGACACATTATGTAGCCAGCATTTGAGTTAGGGAAGTTCAGGTAGTGTAGCTAAAAGATTTAGTCAGTCAAGTTTTGAAGTCAATTGTTGCAACTACATTTAGCATGGATAGCTAAGGGCAGTAAAAAGAGAATTGTAAAAAGAGTGAGAGGTTGATGAAATCTAGTGTCTAGGAGTCTCTGCAACATATCCGACACAAAAACATTACTGCAGGCGTTCTAATTCAAACAGTCATTTTAGAGCTTGTATAACTAAACTGTAGACAGTTGCAGTGACAGGTTGATAAAAGTGTCTAAAAGCAGGCATGGCCGCTACCGAAGGTGGGCTGGTCTCCAATACGGTTCTGCGACGGTCTCTGCAACATTTCAGACACTTAAACATCAACGCAAACGTTCTAATT